GGAATTTTCAGGGCAGGATTCCAACACTAGTGAGCAGAGGATTCGTGTGGCTTCTCCCAGCCCAGTCTTTCTCATTGCTAACTCTTGACCAGAGCTGTCACCTATGGAAAGGAGTTCATCTATTCCCCATGGAGAAAACCACCTAACCTGCCCACCTGATGCTAGATCCCCTGCTGGCCAGGTCTCCAATTTATATGTTACCCTTCAAAAGTTGCTTATGCTCATGTTAGCAACAAAATCAAATAGCTATAACTTTCCCAGTCCTGAGCCTCATTTCCTTAAGAAAGATTCTAATCAGAAACACAATGCAGTAAATTACATCTTCTTTCAGCAATTTAGTTTTCAGCCTTGTTTTTCAACCCAACTTTTGTGCTTGAGGTTAATGTTTTTGCCTGAGGTATTGAATGAATATTGGAAATTTGACGAAGGAAGACAAAAGACAACAAATAAGGGAAGAGGAGAATGGAACCAAGAGTTTATTGAAGACTGGGAATAAGTTGACTGTGCTATGAAAATAGCAAATACGGAATAAATTAGACCTTTTGCATCAAAACTGTCTAACAAGCAGCTTGTTAGTTTAAGTAATGCTCTCAGTAAAGTGTAGTCTGACTTGCATTTCCCATGATTCCCTGTTCTTCAGACCAAGCTCCAAACACCAAGAGGATTCAGCATTTAAGTAAAGGGAGAAGCAATTCCTTTGGGGTTGTTGCTTTAGCATAATGACAGCAAGTAGACAGTTTGGCAGCAGCCTGTATTCTCCAGAGAACAGGAAAAGAGACACTTGTGAGGGGTGATTTCCCCCCCGCCCCATACATGTTTTTAAAGTCACATTGGGCATGTCCATCTAAGTTCAAGTTCACGTGCTGTAACCCACAACAGCAGGGAGAGTTTCTTCTTTTCAAAGCTTCCAGGAAAGCAAAGCATCTCACCCATGTCTGAATCAAAGAAGGAAAACCCCAGGCAAAGATGGAATAGCATTCAGAGTATGTGACATACACACACCAACAAAAAAGACAGTCACACTGAGCACTTACCTGCAATATACATGTGCAGGGCCCCCTCCATGACAGCCCAGACAGTAGCTTCTATCATCTGTTTTGAAAAGTCCAGTAGAGTCCTGTGTGTTATTTAATTGAAAAAGTTTCAGAATAACAACAGTTCCTTGAAGGATTCAGACTCATGTTGAGGCTAGTTTGATGTGGCAAAACTTTAAGAGCTCAAGATGTTTCCCCAAGAGAGATGAAGGACATGCCAAGTATGGCTGCCTCATTGAGATGACAATTTAAAGGATACAGAGACTCTCTGGGAGAGGTGACAGGGATGTGCCACAATTGTAATGATGAATAGCACAGAAAGCATGATTGTGGAACTACCAAAGCCAGGCCCCTCACCATGCACCCCTCAGTACTCAGCAAGGATCTAACCTAGGAAAAAGATGAATTATACAAGCTGCCTTGGATATGAGAAGCATAATCTGAACAGAATATATAAATGAGGTTATTATATTTTAGCGCCTGTGTCAATCAGGAAAAATAAAGCATATTCACAATTGTGAAGAAAATTGAGTTCAGAAGCTGGGAGTTCACAAAATGGCAGTTGAGCTGAATAAGTGGCACAATGCACCATACTTGCCAAGAATATGTATGAAGGTTCTCTGGTGGTCATCTGAGGCTGGAGTAGCCTGGGGAAGCAAGTGAACTCAAGCTTTCTGTTTGAAATGGAGAGTTTGCCTGAGAAGAATTTTCCCCGGGTTTCTACATGCAGTGACAAGATTACTGCAAATGTAAAAAGAATAGTTTAATACTGTCCCAAAATTTAGATAAATTACACTGACGCAGGATGACTGATGTTGGTCAAAGATTGTGGTAAGTACTAGTAATCCAGAAATAAAAGGAGCTAAGAGTTATTCTTGTGAAAAATGGATGACATGGAGTATGTAAATAATGGGAGCAAATGCAGCAAGATACAGAGAATCTTAAAACATTTAAAATCTAGTACATTACAAAGAGAGTTCAATGCTGATAAATGTAAAATAATAAGTTTTATGGGCCTTTATCATATGCTGTGAGTTGATGTGGATCATAATATATGAGGAATAAAAAAGTAGGGGAGTTAAAAGATAAGTCTGCACATTATTTATGACTGATGAAGAGAGAAATGAATGAGAAGAAGAACAGGTAGCAATGTCTTGAATAATGATGACTTTGATGAGTTGTTATCACACAAATCTGTGTGCTTCATAAAATACGATGAATACTAAAGAGCAAAAGAGTCTAAAGACAAGTCTACTCAGAATGAGATACTGAATGAAGGGAGAGAGGAATACAAGAGAAATGCACAGACTAATGATGACTTTTATGAGACTTTCACTCACCAGCCTGGTCCTTCATAAATATAAGCTGTATAGGAAATAAAAGAGCAGCAAAGAAAAGAGGTCTGTATCTGTCATAAAATATGAGCAAATAATGCCAACTAGGCTTGACAAAATAAAAAAAATAATTGAGCCTAATACAGCTGTGGGAAGACACAATGTCTAGATTAATGTGAACAAATAAAATGAGCAAGGGTAGAATTATCTTGCCAATAGGGAATCAGCTACTACCTAGGTATGCATTATTGTTGCAAAGGCCACCTTGTTAATTGGTAGAGCCTTGGCAAGTGCACAATTACGTCCCACTACACCCCCCAAAAAATTACGTCCCACCACACCCCCCAAAAAGCCATCAGCACTTAGGGCTCAGGAAACAATGTTTAACAGATTTTCAACTGGTTTGGCCTCAGTAACATACAGTCTCTTCTCAGCCCCTCTGGCTCCAATTCCTATATACTTTGCAGGAGGTTTTCTCAGCTTGTTTATACTTAATTTATACCCAACTTGTTAAATTTTGCTTTATAAAATGTTACCGTCTACTAGTATAACTAGAATCCTCCTTTTATTTTCATTTCTTGTTACATAGAACTTAGAAATGGGACCAGATCGCTCAGGATTAGTTCAAAATCCAGAATTCAATGACTTTCAACTGTCTTCTCTATTAGAACAAATGGTATTTCAATATCTTCCCAAAAGACACTGGGGGGATCAGACAAGGCAAAGCAAGTGTCAATATGCCATTACCATGCCATTCAGAACCATGGCATAAAGAATTCATTAAATGGATAGCTCATTGGACAGAAACCCACTGATCTACATCAGAACTAGGAATTTGGGTCTACGAGCTCAATATACAAAAACACTTACAGCAACAATTATACTAGCTTACCCTGTGTAATACTTAATGGTGTGTAGTTTGTGTTGTGGGAAGGCCTTAGGTAATCAGGATAAATCCTATACATATAACATATCTAATTCCTTTGATTGCAATAGACTTTACTAGTGAAGTTTATTAGCTGTCGCATATAAAACAAGTTTTGGCTGGTTTTTCAGAGATTTTTTTTTTCTCTCACGCAAATGATCTATGTGGCCATGAGTCTTTAGATACATGGCCTTGAATTGCTGATTCTGGTCAAATAATGTATAATGCCAGGATGAAATTATGGTTAATTGGAAAGCCATATTTGCCCAAATAACATGTGCCCTTTTTTAATTGATCTTGGCAGGAAGGAGAGAGAGAGAGAGAGAGAGAGAGAGAGAGAGAGAGAGAGAGAGAGAGAGAGAAATCAGCTCCTCCTATAAGCATCCCAACAGCAGATGGAACCCGCAGCAACCCAGGCACATGCCCCAACCTTGAACCGAATCCACCAACCCCAGGTCTATGGGACAAGGCTCCAATCCACTGAGCAACACTGGTCAGGGCAACATGGCTCCTTTTAACCCAAGATTTAGCTTCCCTGGATACCCTGTATCCCACTTGGTGAAAAATCTGACATCGATGCCAGGAAAAACCATTGACCTTGCACAGACTTCCTTAACCCTACCAGCTCCAGCTAGAAAAATGTACATTCTAGTGCTCAGCTGCCAAAACTAGGATTGAACTCCAGTGAAAAACTCCCTGCCATCACCTGCTATCCCCCAATAACAGTGGAGCAGGGAAAAATCTTTGTTGCGATTTGCCCCTTGGCTCTCCTAACTACCAAGATACTGAAATTTGTTACAACTTGTTGGCCAAGCTAGAGCCGAAAGTGTACTTGGTTTAGTGGACTGTGCCTCTTGGAGACAGACCTGGTTTAAGAATTAGTTTAATGGAATCCCATTCTTGGGTAAGTATGAAACACATTTGTTTAAAGGAAAACCCTCCTGAAATATTTTATGTCAATTAGGCAAGAGAAATAGGGTACTATAGTCAGAGACCAAGTCTCTTTTGCAGACTTTAACTCTTAAAATTTACCCAACTAAGTCTGCTTAGTTATTATAGAAAATTGCTATTCCAGTAAAGCTAATTGGCAATATGTACCAAGAGGCTTAAAAATGTTCACACCTGTGTATGTAAATGCATAGAAAATGCACATAACAAAGTGATACTGCTGATTACTTCTGGGGAGAAGAGCAGGAACTAAGATGGAGGTGGTCAGCAGGGATTTCAGTCATATCTACAATGTATTATATATTAAATAATATAATTAATTTTAATAACAAAAATATCCTCCACAGCTAAGACTGTCTCCCAAGGAAATAATAAGAAATTCAATGCAGAAAAAATCAAAAAACAACAAAATGTCCTAAAATAGGGAATGGCTTAAACAAGTTAAGAAATATTAATTTAAGGCTATTTTATATAATAACAAAAAGCTATATTAAGTAATTTCTTATTACATTAAACAGTGTTAATAATATACTATTAACTTAATAATATCTGTATACAGAACTATACTGAGCATAATCCCAATTTTGGTGGGTGAAAATGATACACACACCCTCCCCAACATGTTATTAGTAGTTACTACTAGTTGGTGAAATTGTTTTCTTTGTTATACTTGACTGTGTTTTCCAAAGTTTCTCCAACTTGGCTTCTAGACTCTGGTTTCAACATGCTTTTATATTTGTCTTTGATTTTGTGTTACAGGCGTGCTTGTGTGATTCGAGGCCAAGTGGTGGCGGTAGATGGAACCCCTCTAGTAGGCGTGAATGTTAGTTTCTTGCACCACAGTGATTATGGGTTTACCATCAGCCGGCAAGATGGAAGGTAGGTCAATATTGCTTCTGATCATTGATGGGGGCCAAATACTGACTTCTAAACATGAGTAAAACCAGGCCTCAGGGGATGTAATGCTTGTAAGCCCATCTTTCTTCTGGCTGTATCTTGAAAAGTCCTTGGTGATATTTATCTCCTCTATTCCCCACCTAAATCAAACCAAATTTCTCTTCTAATCCTGTACTCATACTCTCAAATCTTCTTGAAACCCTGATCATGTGAAAAGTTTTCTAGCCTTCATCTAATTCCATTTATAAAGCCAGCTTCAACATTCAGTGAGGCGATGCAGGTAGTAAAGAGGGAGCCATGGACCACGTAGGCTGTTCTTCCGTGACAGCCTCAAAATATTTTAGAAATAAATGTATCCAAAATGTTTCTCCCAAAAGTATACAATTCAAAGACATTAAGACTTTTTAAAAAATGTGTCCTTCCTAGACTGCTTATTTTGTTAATGGCTGAAACTGGTTGACAAGCACGGTCAGCCTAACCAATTGCCTTTGGTATCTATATAACCATAGTGATTTAACCTTAAGCTCCAACCACAAAGCTGCTCTCTAAGGGCTTCTCAAGGTTCTCTGAGACTTGGGAAGCACAACCACTAGGGAAAATCTTTTCTTCCTTGAAATGGATTTGCTCACAAAAACATTTTTGTTGCTGTTGTTTAGACAGACATTTATTAGAATAGTTGAGCCAATAGAACCATGCATCCAAAAGTATCTATTTATGATGCTCAGGAACATTGTAATAATGATTTTGAGGTACCCTAAGTCTCCAGGTGGCTACCCTTAAAATGTCATACTCATGACAAGCCACTTCAGTACTCACATAAAGAGGCCAGTTGGCTTGGAGCTTTATTACAGTGTGAGAAACTATCTCATTTCAAGAACTTACAATCAATTCCAAACCACTCTGGAGTTGTTAATTGTTCAACTTGGGCTAACTGAATTTAGTTTTCAACTGCTTGTCAAGAAAATGCTTATAAAAATTAGTTAAAGAAGATAATAAGGAAGAATTTTAACCTATATAAGAAAACAGCTAGTCATATGGATTTTTATATAAATTATAATATTATTAACTAGCCATCTATTCATTGTAACAAGTTCAGCAGAGCTACTCTGGATGCAGGTAGTCTGAAAAAAAAATATATATATATATATATTAAAAGCCTAAGCAACCGTTAAGGTGGAACAACTAGAATGGACCAGAATGACCACTTGCTATGATGTGCGCTGACCACCAGGGGGAAGATGTTTAATGCAGAGCTGCCCCCTGGTGGTCAGTGTGCTCCCACAGGAGGAGCACTGCTCAGTCAGAAGCCGGGCTCACTGCTGGCAAACACAGCGGCAGTGGTGGGAGCCTCTCCCACGTCCATGGCAGCATTAAGAATCAGCAAACTAAGTGGTAAGGAGCAGCGAGCAGGCGAGTGTTAAGGAGCGAGGGGTCCTGGACTGCGAGAGGGCACAGGCCAGGCTGAGGGACCCCCCCACCCCATGCACTAATTTTGTGCACCGGGCCTCCAGCATATATATAAAAGGCTAATATGCTAAGGGTCCAACCATCCCACCAGTTGCTATGATGCACACTGACCACCAGGGGGCAGACGCTCAATGCAGGAGCTGCCAAGCTGCAGTGACTTGGCAGCGGGGTTCTCAGGTGACACATCCCGAAACCAGAGAGGAGGGAGCCTGATTCCTTCCTCGAGGGGCCTCATAATTCCACCTTTGGCCGTGGGTTATGTTATTGCTGGGGCACTGTCAATCCCGAATCTGGTTTACTGCACACTTGCATTTGCTTTCCACACCCTGTACGACAGCAACTTTGCAGAGTGCCCTCTTGCACTCCAGGGCCCCTCGGGGGATGTTGGAGAGCCAATTTCACCTGATCCCCACAGGCCAGGCCGAGGAACCCCACTAGCGGGAGGGACCCTGCTCACTCCACAGACGCCGGGAAGGGACCACGGGAGGTTGGCTCCAGGCGTGTACAGCCCTTCTCGCCCAGTCCCACCCCACTGGCCACCTTCTAATTAATTTCCTTTCAATGTCCATGAATCCATGCACTGGGTCACGTGTGTGTGTGTGTGTGTGTGTGTGTAATGTGTGTATACACACACACACACACATACATGCTATACACACTCACACATATATATTGCTTATGTCTGTATACATGAACAATACAAACTGAATTTCCTTTCATATATTCCATAATTGGCTCATTAGTAATTCAAATGGATCCTTCTCCCAATTAGATTGAATGATGGAATTTCACTAGTTCACTCACCAGTAGCTGGTACACAAAACTGACCTCTCCCTCACCAGTATGTTCCAGAAAATGAGAAATGGATTATTGCTTTAAAAAGACTATGCCCTCAGGGACATTTGACTGCTCGTGGAAAACTGATGGGCCCTCAGTTTTTTTAGCTTGTGTACAAAGTTTTCAGTGAATTGTTTGATATTCACAAGAGAACATAAAAGAAACTTGATGTCTAAAAAGCCTAACAATTTGTTCCAATTTATAGAAAAATATTAAAGAGGGACATTTTTTGTGTTTTTAGTTTTAAATAAAATGCCAAGACCCTCTTCCCTGAGCTCACTGTAAGTTTATGTAGATGACAGATACTAGCCAGAGTCCCCTCTGGCTATAACTCTTCCCTCAGGCTCCACAAAGGGTGTCAGCATTCAAAATATGTTTCCCAAATGCCAACCAGACTGTCCCGTTGTCATCTCTTGGACATAAAGTGACAATCTGATGAGAGTTTCCATTTATATGTCTCTGCTTATTGCTACCTCAGATCGAGTAAGTACATTTCAGAAGCAGCATATCATAAGGAAGCTAGACCTGAGGGCAAAAAGGATTATAGAAAGGCTGAGATTAGCATTTAGATACCTATTAGGTCAGAGTGTGACATGCAAGATAAGATCAGATATGCAAGACCCTATGTCTCCAATTCTCAATCCCACTGGTCTGCTTCTGTGCCTGTAGTTCCCACCAAAAAGATCACTTCTTTTGATTAAGCTATTGACTCTCTCAAAAACCCCGTTAAATGCAAATATGTTATGTGGGATTTGGAAATAATTACCCCCATCATCATCCATTTGCACCAATTAATTAACAACTTTCCCTAGAGAAACAGAAAAAGTCTAGATCATGGGACCAAAGTGATATATAAAAAACAGAGGGAAGGATGGGAGTGGACACACGGCCCTCTAAAAGTAAGAATAGATAATGCAGATTGGGAGGCACCGAAGGATCAGAAAAGTAAAAAAGGCAATTCTAAAAGAGAAACAAATATGTATGAGTATCTACTCTATGCCAGGCATTTACATGAATGTCATTGTTTCATCCTCACAACAACTTTATGAGCTAAAAATCATTATTATCATCCTCCCCACTTGCAGATGAGATGACTTATCCAAATTAACACAGCTAATAAGGTAGAGCCCAAAAATTGAACCCAAGTAATCTGGCTCTTATCTTCTATGATTTACCACCTTCAACTTAGAGAGCAGGTGCTCAGTTAAGTGTTGAAGAAAACTATAAATATTTGAGCTAGTGACAAGCCAAATAGGTGATTCTTGAGAAGCACTAAAGGTCTCAAAAACTTTGTTTGGAATACTTCATAAGATGAAGAGAGGGTTCCCTCTGATTCTCCTATATATGCTTGACTCTTGACTTTTTAAAAATATTTCTTAATTGATTTTTAGAGAGAATGAAAGGGAGAGGGAGAGAGAAAGAGAGAAATATTGATTGGCTAGCCCACAACCCAGGCATGTGTTCTGACTGGTAAACTGGTAGCCTTTCAGTGCATGGACCGACCAGTGTCCAAATGACTGAGCCACACTGGCCAGGGCTTAATTCTTGTCTTTATGCCATTTACTCATTTACAGTAGTAGCTGAGTGATAGATCATGTTAGCCCACTTTACTAATGAGGAAACTGACACTCATGGATGTTAAATAACTAGCCCAAAGACACAAAGTTAACATGGCAGAGCTGGGATTTGAACCCAGGTGCAGATGAAGCCAAAATCACATTCTTCCTGAAAAACAAGAAGCTTGCCCTGTCTGCTTAATCTTTCTAGACGTAGGGAATAATTCCCAGGGACATATGTTCTTGCTTAGATAGTTTATTTTGTATTTTTGTTGTTGCTGCTTGTGTTTGTTTTCAAATAAATAAGCACTTCAGTTTAAAAGAGTCAAGAACTAAGATTTGGGTGAAGCAAATAAACTTGCCCAAGGGCATAGAGTTAAATCAATGTAGAATGTGAACTAGAGGAAAGGTCTCTTGGCAAGTTATGTTGGATTTTCCCCACTATACTTGCCTTAAACTGCTCCTGTATTATCATAAATTCAGCCTCTCTGTCTTAAACCATAACCATAAGCGGTTTGGATTTTCTTTTTTTAGTTCAAACCTAGATTATTTTCTATAGCTAATGCAGTTCTTCAAATCCTCTTTTTGGAAACTGCCCTAATATTACAGCTACTTCACTGAAAAGGCAACAATAAACTATACAGTATTACTCATCCTTTGTTACTGTCCATTTATCTTTATCTGGAAGATTTCTGCAACAAGATACAATTAGTAATGCTATAATAAATACAATAAATGTCATATGAAGGGAGTGGTGAGCTCTCCATAATTAAGTCTGATTACCTATCAGGGCATTTTATCATTGAAAAGGTGTTTTACAGAAAGATCGTTTTTGGATAGAGGGAATTATTACATCTCTCGTGTGGATTCAAGTTGCTTTGAATATTAAGGAGCATCATATTGCCCTTTATCCATTTTTTAAGATATAATGGTAAAATTTATCATTATCTTACTTTTACATAGTATTTTATGCTTTTTGAATGCTTTCAAGCACATTATCATTATACTTTAAAGGGGAGTAAGGAAGAACCACATAGTACAGAATAAACTGAAACTTGAATCCGTTATGCTCCAATGCAAGAGTCATGTAAGAGATGCACTTGCAGGAGAGGTGGTCTTGCTTTGTCAGAGATATGGAGGGAGTTGTCAGTGGAGATGGACAGGATCCATTACAGGCTTCCTTACAAAAGAAGACCAAGAGGCTTTCTAAAAGGAAGCAGGAATCCTAAATACAGACTTCAAGTAGAATCAGGAGCCAATGGGGATAGTCATATTTTCAGGGTACAAGTATGGTATTGTTCAAGCAAATTTCACTGAACCATTTTCCTCTTCTGCCTTCTTTCTCCAAATACCATCTCAAAGACACCATCAGGTTTCTGACACTATGTTTGTGATCCTGAACAAGATATTTAACCTTTTGCCTCCTACTTTTCTTGATTTTTTTTTTGAGGATGAATAATACATTAGATGCTGCTGAATGTGAAATGGTCATCTTTCAGTTATCTATAGCACAAAGGGTAGCAGTGATATCACATTTGACTTTGCAGAAATGAATGCAGTAGTTTTGTTTAAGATAGTATTAAATTGGCTTACAAATTCAGGGTGAATATCAACTGGTGATAAGAAATTTTTTCTCAGAAGTCTACTGGGTAGTGAAAAGAAGTCATCCATGGAATGAATACTGAGCTAGAGGGAACTTATAACAGAGAATATGAATGGATATATTGAGTTCCAAAAGAGGAAAGTACACTAAAATTACCTATTTTTAAACTTTATTTTGGTTGTTCATTTGCTTAAAACTGTCTTATAATTTTCCATCTCAGCTTTGACCTCGTTGCCATCGGTGGTATCTCTGTCACCTTAATCTTTGATCGCTCACCTTTCCTGTCTGAGAAGAGGACACTCTGGTTGCCTTGGAATCAGTTTATTGTGGTGGACAAAGTAACCATGCGGAGAGTTGTATCAGACCCACCATCCTGCGATATCTCCAACTTTGTCAGCCCAAACCCTATTGTGCTTCCTTCACCGCTCACATCATTTGGAGGGTCTTGTCCAGAGAGGGGAACTATTGTTCCTGAGCTGCAGGTGAGTGCATTGGCCTTTGAAAGTATAAAATCATAGCATCTTGGGGTGCTCAACAATGCATAATGGCTAGAGTCTTTTTCCTGTACTCCTGCTAGTACTATAATGTACTGCCCTTCATTTGTCAAAAGAAGCCTTCAAATGTAATCTTTTTGGCACACATTTGCAAAGTGCTTGCCAGGGCGATAGGGCACTATCTGTGGCCATGGAACAAAGCAAGATGAACTAGTTGTCAAGAGAATTAAACCCCAAACCTTGACCTAATGAACACTGTGCTCTAAGGAACAAAGATAGCGGGCTCAATCGTGATAACAGTATAATCAATAAGGTGGGACCATTTGTGCTTCTGAAATGAAAGCTCTTTAAAAAATCTAGTTTTCTTTCATTGTCAAGTTTATATCCATTGTCATTGTTCTTAGAAGTCTTGACAATTCCTCTTTATTTAACTGTGTTTAGTGAGGGTAGTTTTCAAGGCTATGGGCTTTAATGTTTAAAGCTTTGTTTTTGAGTGTTCAAGCTTTACAATCAGAGGAACCTTGATATTTTAGGATTTCTGAAAATTTTTCTTTATTGAGCATTCAATATTTTAACTTCAATTTTAAGTCATTCAAACATCCATAGTACAATTCTCTCACTACATTATAGAAACATTTTAATGATAGTTAATATGGAAACCACCAAAATGAACTCAAGTCATACAGATCCAGAATTCAAAAAGTATACTCAAGAAGAAATTAATGGACATTCCGGGATTGAATTGGTTTTTCTTCCATCACAACATCCCCACAAACTATTAGCAGTGCCTGTAGGATACCTCTTAAGAAAGGCTCACGAAAAATAGTGCTATATGGGACAAAGAGTCCAAAGAGTTGCCACTCCTGTCTGTTCCATTGTTTTATCTTAGAAAAAAAGTAAAAACAGGACAATATTAATGAGTACATTTGACTGGTATGCTAATCCCTTCACAGATGTCATAAGGAAGTATGGATCTCTTTCAGCACAAAAGTTTTCAAACTGATTTAGGATTGCATGTTTTCTTGGGGAAATGAAATACTAAGGTACTAAGTAGCATGCTATTTTCTTCTATTGTGCTTCTGCCACTATCTAAGAAGACAGAGCCAATAGTATCAAATAGCTAATGTAGAGCAAGAAAAACTGGGCATTAAGTAGACAAAAGGGATTTGTGCCCTCAAAGAAAGGATTGGCACCCAGCTGGGGTTGCTCAGTGGTTGAGCATCGACCTATGAACCAGGAGGTCGGGATTCAATTCCCGGTTGAGGCACATCCTGAGGTTTCAGGCTGATCCCCAATGTGGGGCATGCAGGAGACAACAGATCAATGATTCTCTCTCAACATTGATGTTTCTATCTCTCTCTCCCTCTCCCTTCCTCTCTGAAATCAATAAAAAATATATATTTTTTTAAAAAATAAAAGTGCTGGACAATGTGAGATATGTGTTTAACTATGTGTACTAGTTTGGTAAAAGGAAAGAGGGACAGGGTTTCTGAGCTAAACATGAATGAGGGCACAGAAATATCCATATTGTGCATGTCACCTTAAATGTGTTGAATAGGATAGGCTGTATTTTTAAAGTTGAAAGTCATGAAATGCAAACTTTAGTTTTAGTGACCACTTTTGGTTGTTTAACTCCATCTGTGCTAATAAACAAATAAGTCACAGCAATTCATTAAAAGTAGCCAAGCAGTATTTTCACTCTGGGACCAACATATAATATAAAAATTTCAGAGGAGCTATTGGGAGTTATTTGCTTTTCAGTCACAGGTGCCAACTTGGAAAAACTACTTCCCAGCTATTGGTATAACCAGACACAGAGAAATATGTAAGCAAAATTTGATTAAAAATTTGGCCTCAGGGTCATTCCAAAGCTCCAAAGAAGACGAATTTGATGGCATCAGTAAAGATTAATTCTAGGGAATCCATAATCTCTGTCATAAAATATCACTTGCTGGGCCTGCTTCTGGAGACCTTCCTCTTAAAGACTGTAGCCTGAATAAGGATCACAGCAATAGTTTTGTGATATATGACTTAACACACTGAACAAGATTTTGTGTATGGGTGTATATAAGAAAAAGACCACTTAATGGCACCCATGTCACTGAATTGCTTGACATTCAGCAGTGTGATCTACTACTAAGCAGTGTTTAGAAAACTGTTGAAAAACTGAAATTGTACTTTTCACAGTCATTCCTGGCAGAGAAAAAAAGAGAATAGTTCTCAGAGTTGGCTGGATGGCTTGTCTCCATGCAGATTCAGTGCAGAATTAGAAACCTATCGACACATAGCCTCACAAAGATTCTAGAACAAGTGGCTATACATCCACAGATCCCTTTAAGCTCTCTCCTTTTATCTGTTTCTAAGTCAACAAAGCATGCAATATTCTGACCTACCTGTGAGCACTGATCAGAACCAATTTGGCTTTCTTCTTTCAGGTTGTACAGGAGGAGATCCCCATTCCTTCCAGCTTTGTGAGGCTCAGTTACCTGAGCAGCCGCACCCCCGGGTATAAAACACTGCTACGGATCCTTCTAACACATTCAACCATTCCCATGGGTATGGTTAAAGTACACCTCACAGTAGCTGTGGAGGGGCGACTCACCCACAAGTGGTTTCCTGCTGCAGCTAATCTCGTCTACACATTTGCTTGGAACAAGACAGACATCTATGGACAGAAGGTTTGGGGCCTGGCAGAGGCCTTGGGTATGTTGAAATAATTCTATGTAAATAGTAGTATGACAATCACAAAATAGAACATACTGGTTGCATATTAATCTGCATTTGAAATAATTACAGGCTTTCTTTTATCTAAAGCAGGCGTGGGGAACCTTATTTCTGCCAAGGACCATTTGTATATTTCCAACATTATTTGAGGGCCATACAAAATTATCAACTTAAAAGTCATTCTGCTATATTTGGTCAAACATTGAATTAATTCACTGCTCATGCCTTGACAGGGCCAGACCAAATGATTTTGCGGGCCTTATACGGCCCGCAGCCTGCCGTTACCCACACCTGATCTAAAGGATCTAAGGCAGCGGTTCTCAACCTGTGGGTCGCGACCCCTTTGGCTGTCGAACGACCCTTTCACAGGGGTCGCCTAAGACCATCCTGCATATCAGATATTTACGTTATGATTCATAACTGTAGCAACATTACAGTTATGAAGTAGCAATGAAAATAATTTTATGGTTGGGTCACAACATGAGGAACTGTATTTAAAGGGCCAGAAGGTTGAGAACCACTGAAAGGTGTTTTTTCATTTAAACACTTCCTTCATGCCTGGTTAGAGTTCCCTTTTGATACATTCTTGCTTCAAACAGTTTTAGTTCCCTTTTCATGATGACTACACACCAGTAGAATCACACACTCTCTGGCTTGTAACTGTCTCCAGAGCTGAGCATTACCTTCTAACTGTGACCTTTGGTGTGGCGTTCTTAGGCCATGTTTTTGGATTTGACATTTAGACTGTCATTTCCACTTAGAAACTGCAAAATTTTAACTTATAGGCATCTCCACTTATTACCTTTTATGTCTAAGATGGTTAGACTCCATTAAATTGTTACTTTGGTAGGTTAAATAAAAAATCATCCTACCTTCCCAGTCCTTTTGATTTTCTGTTATCTCAAGACTTTAAAACCTAGAATCTTACAGCTAGCAGAGACCTTAAGAGGTCCTTTGGGCCGATGGTTTTCAGATATTTAGTTCTCACAGACAAATGACATTTTTAAAAAATGAGACTGAGAAAGATTTGCCAACTTTTTATTTTGGCAAGTAAGGCTATTTTAAAAGGGGGGGAAACACTACTATCTACTATTACCTCCTATCACCATCTATACTAATAAAAGGGTAATATGCTAATTAGACCGGGAGACCTTCTGGACATCCTTCTGGACAAAGCCATGGTGGTGGGGCTGAGGCAGAGGCGGTTAGGGGTGATCAGGCGATCAGGCCAGCCGGGGAGGTGAGCAAGGCCAGTGGAGAGGCAGTTAGGGGCAAGCAGGCCAGCAGGGGGGGAAATTGGGGGTGATCATTTGGGGGCGAGCAGGCTGGCAGGCAGAGTGGTTAGGGGTGACCAGGCAGGCAGGTAGATGAGTGGTTAGGAGCCAGCAGTCCCAGATTGTGAGAGGGATGTCTGACTGCTGGTTTAGGCCCGATCCCACAGGGCCATGAGGGATCATACAGGGATGGGGCCTAAACCGGCAGTCATACATCCCCCAAGCGTTCCCAGATTGGAGAGGGTGCAGGCCAAGCTGAGGGACAGCCACCCCTCGCCCCCGTGCACCCGCCCCCGTGACTGAACAGCAGGCTGCATGGGGTAACCAGGCCGGCAGGGAGGGCAGTTGGGGGCAACCAGGTTCGCAGAGGGGGGTACTTGGGGATGACCAGGTTGGCAGGGGGGCAGTTGGGGGCAACCAGGCCAGCAGGGGGGCAGTAAGGGGTGACCAGGCCAACCGGGGGCAGTTGGGGGTGACCAGGCCAAGGGGGGCAGTAAGGGGCAAGCAGGGGGCAGTAAGGGGGTGACCAG